GAGAGAGAGAGAGAGAGAGAGAGAGAGAGAAAGAGAGTGTGACTTATAATCTCAGGGTTCCACTTTGTTGGATCGACTTGATATACTCAGGGCCGCCAGGTAAGTTGTTGTATTTCTGGATAATCTCGCAGAGAGGGAGCTCGACGAAGTGTTCGGTGTCTTTGGATTCACTGAGCCTGAGCTGAAGTAGTCGAAGGCTTTGTGAGTTAAGGGGTTCAGGGTTTAGGGTTTGAGAGAGAGAGAGAGAGAGACAGAGAGAGAGAGAGAGTTTAGGGTCGCAGGGTTTATAGGGTTTGTAAGTTAAAGCTTTGAGGTTAAGATTCTATAGGACCAGTGGCTCCTCGAAGTACGGCTGAATCTCGATGGAGGGCATGTCCCGGTCGAGAAGATATGCCTTCAAGAATTGAAACCTCAGCTGCAACGAATCGAGAAGGCCACACAGTTGTGGATTGTTAAGGTTCAGGGTTCGGGGATGTTGGTTCGTACAGTTAATAACATACACTGCTGCCTCGGGACTTCTCAGTTGGCGACACTGCCGCCTGCCATTGTTCAACCAGACCCTTGCGTAGTCCTGCCAGGGTTCAAGGTTTTAGGTTTAGGGTTTATAAGGGTGCATAAGACAGCTTGCAGTATATACGAAGGGGGGTAGGAACTCAAAGGCTTGCCTCTGGCATTGTTCATTCGCCGGCGAAGGCCCTCGTTGAGGCGTTTCCGTTCGGCCAGGTCGATGTCCTCGGGTTTCTCCAGAGCCTCACGACATAATGCCCAATCTAGTTTTAAGAATTGTGAAGGTTCGGGTCCAGTGCAGTGTGAGCCACTTCAATCTGAGCCCTTTGTTCCTCTGTCAGCTTTCGAACCTCAGCGAGAGATGCCATGCAGGGGATTTATGTTTCTAATATGGTTTATATGCAGGGCACTAGAATGTAAGCCGAAAAACATCATTCGGGTTCCCTGGGAACATGAAGCCCGTTTTCTTGGGAGATTCCTGGTCAGCCCAAGAAGGTTCGGGCTCCTGGTCCTGGCTCTCTTCCGTAACATCACTGGCCCAGGACTGCCGCGTGAAGCTGCGGCGTGGCCTGCAGGTTCATGTGTGTCTCTGCAGCACAGATAGTGGTTTTCAGACGATTGATCGAACCAAGCGACTTCTTTGACTGGGGATCCTCCCACTGATCTGGCAGGCCTAGCAATGAATGCAGGGTTCAAGGTTCATGGGGTTGTGGATCGCTAGGGAAGGGATCGAGGGCTCCCTTACAAGTTTTCCCTTACAAGTTTGGATGCAGCAGACGAACCCCCGGAAATCCCTACATATGTTTCCAGGCCTTTCGACTGGCTCGCATCTTCCCAGGTTCTCTTTTCCGGTGCAACAGCACGACCTTCCCAGGAGGAGCCTCGGATCAATGCATCACAAACAATGCATGTGTATAGGTACATATGCAACAGATATACAATTTACATACATCATGGAAAAAAGGTACGAGCTATATTCTAGTTGAGCTAAGGATCTTGACGGGCCACTTTCCTGGGGACCCCACCACTGATCATTGTTGTCTCTGGAACCGAACAGATCTTCCATGCCCTGTCTAGTGACCAAGCCAAACTTACCACCCTTCTCGGTGCTTTCCTGGCCTTTCCCCTTGCCCTTGTCCTGGCCTTTCTCTTTTCCGTTCCCCTTTTCCTGGCCCTTCTCGGTGCTCTCCTGGGCTTTCCTTTTGCCCTTTTCCTGGCCTTTTTCCTCTCCTTTTCCCTTCTCCTGGCCCTTCTCGGTGCTCTCCTGGCCTTTCCCTTTGCCCTTCTCCTGGCCTTTCACCTGTCCTTTTCCCTTCTCCTGGCCCTTCTCGGTGCTCTCCTGGGCTTTCCCTTTGCCCTTTTCCTGGCCTTTTTCCTGTCCTTTTCCCTTCTCCTGGCCCTTCTCGGTGCTCTCCTGGGCTTTCCCTTTGCCCTTTTCCTGGCCTTTTTCCTGTCTTTTTCCCTTCTCCTGGCCCTTCTCGGTGCTCTCCTGGGCTTTCCCTTTGCCCTTTTCCTGGCCTTTTTCCTTTCCTTTTCCCTTCTCGTGGCCCTTCTCGGGGCTCTCCTGGGGTTTTCCTTTGCCCTTCTCCTGGCCCTTTTCCTTTCCTTTTCCCTTCTCCTGGCCCTTCTCGGTGCTCTCCTGAGTTTTCCCTTTGCCCTTGTCTTGGCCTTTCTCCTTTCCTTTCCCCTTCTCTTGGCCCTTCTCGGTGCTTTCCTGGCCTTTCACCTTTCCTTTTCCCTTTTCCTGACCCTTCTCGGTGCTTTCCTGGCCTTTCTTTTTGCCCTTTTCCTGGCCCTTTTCTTTTCCTTTTCCCTTCTCCTGGCCCTTCTCGGTGCTTTCCTGGCCTTTCTCTTTGCCCTTTTCCTGGCCCTTTTCCTTTCCTTTTCCCTTCTCCTGGCCCTTCTCGGTGCTTTCCTGCCCTTTTCCTTTGCCCTTTTCCTGGCTCTTGTCCTTTCCTTTTCCCTTCTCCTGGCCCTTCTCGGTGCTCTCCTGGCCTTTCCCTTTGCCCTTGTCTTGGCCTTTCTCCTTTCCTTTCCCCTTCTCTTGGCCCTTCTCGGTGTTTTCCTGGCCTTTCACCTTTCCTTTTCCCTTTTCCTGGCCCTTCTCGGTGCTTTCCTGGCCTTTCTCTTTGCCCTGTTCCTGGCCCTTTTCCTTTCCTTTTCCCTTCTCCTGACCCTTCTCGGTGCTTTCCTTGCCTTTCCCTTTGCCCTTTTCCTGGCCCTTTTCCTGGCCTTTTTCCTTTCCTTTTCCCTTCTCCTGGCCCTTCTCGGGGCTCTCCGGGGCTTTCCCTTTGCCCTTTTCCTGACCTTTCTCCTGTCCTTTCCCCTTTTCTTGGCCCTTCTCGGTGCTTTCCTGGCCTTTCCTCTTGCCCTTGTCCTGGCCTTTCACCTTTCCTTTTCCCTTCTCCTGGCCCTTCTCGGTACTTTCCTGGCCTTTTCCTTCGCCCTTTTCCTGGCCCTTCTCCTTTCCTTTTTCCTGGCCTTTCGCTTTTCCCTTTCCCTTGTGGTCCTTCTCGGTGCTTTCCTGGTCTTTTCCTTTGCCCTTTTCCTGGCCTTTCTCTTTTCCTTCTCCCCTTTCCTGGCCCTTCGTGCTCCATCCTGTGCCACAGGATTAATTAAGCGGTACAGGTATGCTTCGTTGCAATAATAGATGTATACAGAGCATACATTGTACAATCTTTTTTGGACTAAGCAATATCTTAACTTATTCCTGTATATAGTGGTTATTTTAACACAATGTATATCCACACCTGCGATTTGTGTTTGTGTTTTGTATACAGAAGCACTACAAAAAAAAAAAGTCCTGGCTGCCACCACTTGTTGGCTTCTGACCAGCCATCATACATCTCTTGTTTTTCTTCGGCCGATCTGTTTCTATCGACTAGAGCAGGCTTTCCCATGGCTTGCATGCAGAGTTTGAAACACAAAAGCACACTTACACTCTTCAATAAGAGACGTTCAGGGGCTCAATAAGAGACGTTCAGGGGCTCAATAAGAGACGTTCAGGGGCGACATAAGAGACATTGGCGACCCAAATAAGGTTCACTGGGAGCACATGTAAGAGACAGTGGTGATCTAGATAGACATGTGCACGTACACGATCAAGTCGTGCACGAAAAACTTGAGACCTCCAAGGATCAAGAGATACACGCTGATACACGCCTAAGTCTCTTATTAAGAGACAGATACACGCAGATACACGCCGATACACGCCTCGGTCCCCGATGCTGAAAGTTTTGATTTTCAGCGGGCAGTCACGAATCTTTGAAGCCGGCAACCACCAGCCATCTTTTAGATACACTGGCATGACATGCGGACCCCTTCGGTGTTAGCGGAAGCATGTTTCCTGACTTTATGTGCCCGTGCATGGTCCACATGAGATGCAGCCAAGCTCACCAAGCTCAGGATACATGGCCAGATGCATTAATTGCACTGGATATCGCGATCTTCGTCCTGGAGAAGCAGATCAGCGGGCCAAGACACATAAAGTGGGTAGTAGTAGTAGTAGTAGTAGTAGTAGTAGTAGTAGTAGTAGTAGTAGTAGTAGTCGTAGTAGTAGTAGTAGTAGTAGTAGTAGTAGTAGTAGTAGTATAGTAGTATAGTAGTAGTATAGTAGTAGTAGTAGTAGTAGTAGTAGTAGTAGTAGTAGTAGTAGTAGTAGTAGTAGTAGTAGTAGTAGTAGTAGTAGTAGTAGTAGTAGTAGTAGTAGTAGTAGTAGTAGTAGTAGTAGTAGTAGTAGTATAGTAGTAGTAGTAGTAGTAGTAGTGATAGTAGTAGAAGTATATAGTAGTAGTAGTATACGTATAGTAGTAGTATAGTAGTAGTAGTAGTAGTAGCAGTAGTAGTAGCAGTAGCAGTAGCAGTAGCAGTAGCAGTAGCAGTACTACTAGTACTAGTAGTAGTTAGTAGTATAGTAGTAGTATAGTAGTAGTAGTAGTAGTAGTAGTAGTAGTAGTAGTAGTAGTAGTAGTAGTAGTAGTAGTAGTATAGTAGTAGTAGTAGTAGTAGTAGTAGTAGTAGTAGTAGTAGTAGTAGTAGTAGTAGTATAGTATAGTAGTAGCATAGTACTATATATAGTAGATAGTCTAGTAGTAGTATATAGTAGTATAATAGAAGTAGAAGTAGTAGTAGTATAGTAGTATAGTAGTAGTATAGTAGTAGTAGTAGTAGTAGTAGTAGTAGTAGTAGTAGTAGTAGTAGTAGTAGTAGTAGTAGTAGTAGTAGTAGTAGTGTAGTAGTACTAGTAGTATACTAGTAGTTTATATATATATATGCATATTTAGTTTATATATAATATAGTTTATAGTATAATTGTTTTGAAATATATATATATATATACACAGACTTTACATATACAGATTATATTTTATAAAGGGTTTTATATAGTAGCAGATATATAGATGCAGAACCACATATATATATAGTAGCAATAGATGCAGAACCACATATAGTATTAATAATTTTAAATTAGTAGTATATATAGTATAGTAGTAGTAGTAGTAGCTATATAGTAGTAGTAGTAGTATAGTAGTAGTAGTAGCAGTAGTAGTAGTAGTAGTAGTATATATGGTTTAGGGTTTAGGGTTTAGGGTTATAGTAGTAGTAGTAGTAGTAGTAGTATAGTAGTATTAGTAGTAGTAGTAGTAGTACTATATAGTACTATATGTATGTACTAGTAGTAGTAGTAGTAGTATAGTAGTAGTATAGTAGTAGTAGTAGTAGTATATAGTAGTCGTAGTCGTAGTAGTATAGTAGTAGCAGTACTATAAGTAATAGTAGTCGTAGTAATAGTAGTATAGTAGTAGTAAAAGTATAGTATATAGTAGTAGTAGTAGTAGTAGTAGATAGTAGTACTAGTAGTTGATATGTCCGCGTGTTCGTTTGTTGGTGTGTTGGTGTACTGGCCTGGTGGAGGGGTGGTGTGGTGGTCTTGTTGTGTGGTTGGGTAGTGGTGTATATAGTGGTGTAGTGGTCAATATATACTTCTATATTGTAGGAGTAGAACCCTGCCAAGATTGCTCCTCCAGGTCATCCATCATCTCCTCCGTGGGCCGAGGAACATCATCGGCACCCAGGAAGACGTCCTCGCCAGCCAGCTGCATCTCGGCATTTGGCTCCTGAGATTGATGGCAGCAGAATATAGTACAAAGTCGCAGTAGCATGCGAAGGTAGAAGTAGCATAGCAGTAGTAGTAGTAGTAGTAGTAGTAGTAGTAGTAGTAGTATAGTATAGTAGTACTGTTGATGATATAAATCCTGCATTACCCATTATAATTAATATACCATAATTCCCATAGTCTAGGGCCATTAAAGTAGTGCAGGATTTATATCATCAACCGTAGTAGTAGTAGTAGTAGTAGTATAGTATAGTATATTATAGTATAGTATAGTATAGTATAATATAGTATATATATAGTATAGTATAGTAGAGTATATATAGTATAGTATATAGTATAGTATAGTATAGTATAGTATAGTAGTAGTACTGTAGTAGTAGTAGTAGTAGTAGTAGTACTAGTATAGTAGTAGTAGTAGTGGAAGTAGTATAGTAGTAATATATATATATATATATATATGTATATATATATATATATTAGCTGGTAGCATTATAATAGCCATAGCAGTAGCAGTATAGCACTATTGTCGCAGCTTTTTTTGTAGCTATATATAGTAGTAGCTACAGTAGTAGTAGTATAGTAGTAGCAGTAGCAGTAGTAGTAGTAGTAGTAGTAGTAGTAGTAGTAGTAGTAGTAGTAGTAGTAGTAGTAGTAGTAGTAGTAGTAGTAGTAGTATTGCTACATTAAATATATAGTAGTATATTCTGTAGTATAAAGTATATATATCGCATGCAGTGTATATAGATGTATAGTCTACATATACATAGCAGAATAGCATATATATATATATAGCATGGTTAGTATTGATAAAAGCGATATGTGTGATAATAGGTGTAGCTCATATTGCATGCCTGCGGATCATCGACCTCCAGCACGATCCATCGGCCATAAATCATGACCCATATCTCAGGCCACACTCCTTGGCTTAGTGCTTAAGGGTTGAGGCGGTCGGGACGAGAGTTCAGGTTTAAGGGTTAAGGGTGAAGGCCAGGCAGACGAGCCACCAGTGTAGTTTCGATACATCATCGTGCGAAGCACCCAGTTGGCATACTCGGATATGCAGCAGGAATCAGTCAAGACCGGGGTGTTATGCGTGGAGCGGATGGGGGTTTTATCGTAGGGATACATGCACGTCGAGTGCTGGATGTTGCATTTGAGGGTTTACTGATTGCATCTATACAGTGCGAAGCCAAGTCACAAGCATCCCAGGATCAATCAGATCATCGAGTATATCTTCTGCAGTGCCTGAGCAAGACTACTGTGAGCTTCAGGGGTGATCGAGGGCGAACCAGCTTCGGTATCACAGGGCAACCCCAACAAGCCTGCACGAATCGCGTAGCCCTCGTTTCCATGACCATGGCTTCTGGTGGACATGTGGCTAGCCTAGGCGTATAGCAAGCAGAGCAGTTTTTAGTGGAACTATACAGTCGTCGGTTGAGTAGTAAGAACAGAATGAGTCTAGGATTGTAGGGGGATTCCTGGGTAATGTTATAACTACAAAATCCACTGCTTGTGCTGATGCTAGTGCTGCTGATGCACTATGCTAGTTCGGATCCCTCTGCAATTGGTTCAAAGATTGAGCCCTTTCAGGATCCGGACCTATACAGACGGCCGGTTCGTGTTGGAACGACATGATCATGAACCCTCATGGTAGCTTTGCACTCACATCGCGAACAGCTCGGCGTGATTTTTTGTTTGCCGTACCCCAGGCTGAGCAAGGTGTCAGTGCATGCTAGGCTGTCGGGAGGAAGCCTCGATCGCTGTGCATTGGGTGTTGTGGGATTACAAGTGCCCGAAGCTTGCCAGCCAGAGCCAGCTAGAGGGTTTGTGGTTACGGGTGTGCCTACTATCGGCTAGTTCGAGTCTTTTTCTAAACCGAGAATATCTTCCCGACCCGACACTATACACTAGCTGCCGAGGCTGCGTGTCATCAGACATACCTCCGCTTTTTGGCTTCTTGCCAGGTGAACAGCTTCAGGACCTCCGATCGTTCTTCGGAGTCTTTCCAGAGCTCCTCCTTTTCGTGCTGCTTGAGACTTTTGTCGCACCTTGCAATCATATATTGGATGCAAACGAACAGCACTCGAGCCGCACCAATAAGGAATGTGCAAGCCGTGTGGCTGGGCGAGAAACCTCTTTTTCTCCGTGCCGTATGGCGTGTCGTTCCTCTTCACCGGCGTCTTGGCTTCCGTCCACGTGTCCTCGGGCATCTTGGAAGCTTCGGTTGCTGTTGCTGCTTCTGCTGCTGCCTGCTTGGCTGCTGCATGTTTGGCTGCTGGTGCAGGTGTCTTGCAAGTCGAAGCCAACTTGGCTGCTTTGTTGCTTGCAACTAACAGCCGCTGCCGGTGCGGATTGACAGCTGTGTGCTTGCCGCCTAAGCAGCATGAGAAGGCTAGTTGTGTCTCCGGAGCCAATCCCTCCAAAGACAAATACTTTTCGTCGAGATGGAACTCCTGAGCTACATATCCCTCTTTTCGCAGCAGCTGAATATTGATTTTTGTCCAAGCTGCCGGGGGACCATCTGTCGTCCTCTCTCGCTCATTGACCTTGCAAAGACTGCGACACCACAATAAACATGCATGTGTGTGTCCACATGATGTGTGCGTGTGTGTGTGTGCCATGCATGTATATATATATATATATCAACGTGAAAGTATATGTATATATATATATATGTACACGTGCACACATGTGCACGGGTTTCTATGTGTGTACATGCACATGTATGTGTGTATATACGTAGATACATATTTCTATATATATATATATATATGTATATCTGTAAGTATGATCATCATATGCTTACCAGCATTGTACATGCTTTAATTGCACGTATACCTACACAACATGTGACCCACTGGTGACACGGCTTGGCCCGGCCTTTGGCTTGTTCCAATACTGCAGCTCATCTTCCTGAGAAGGGATTCATGGGGCTCTATAGGGCTATAGGGTTTGGGGAAAAGAATCGGCATCTCGGTCGGGCGAGTTGCGACCCAGGCAATCTGGGCCTGGCCATCCTTTGCCCTCTGCTCCGCAATCTCACCCATCTGCGTGCAATACATGGGTGCATGGGCTCGTGAAGTTAGGAAATGCATGGTGATCACAGAAAGCACAACATGCATGTGTACACACATGTATGCATGCAATGTAAATTATATATATATATATATATGTATATACATATAAAGTGTTTTGTGAGTATATGTATATAACTAAATAAGTAAGAGTTAACACATATATCTATGTATAAATATATTTATTGATTTTCTTTATATGTGTGTGCCTTATACATCGAGCGGCTCGCAGGAAATCATCTCCCAAATCTTGAATGTCTTTCAGCAGGGCCTTTGCCGTTGCATCATCCTTTTCAGCGACGGCCTCGGTTTGGTAGCACACGAACATTTGTAGGGTGTTGGGTTTACAAAGGATTATAGGGCTACAGGGTTTAGGTCGCCTCGATTTGGGATCATAGGAACAATCGTAGGGTGTTGGGTTTACAATTACACGGTTTAAGGGTTCATGGGGTTTAGGGTTTGGGTTTTCGGGAGGATCCCACCTCGTCCCAGCCCGACAAAGCTTCAGCTTGGTTCCACCATGCGGCCTGGCAAGGGGGCATGCATGCGTGAAATTGTCGGTCGGCGACAATCCCATCGATCCACCTCGCATGGCTCTTCCTTCACGGATCCGCTGCCCTCGGCACAGTACGATTGGCTCTTATACGGATTCTAGTGCACAACCTTTACAGACAGCAAGCCTTACCATCATCGGCCGGCCAGGCTTCCTTCTCCTGTTTGGCGAACGGGAAGACAGTGGCAAGATTGCGAGTGTCACGAGAAACAACGAAGTTTAGTTTAGGCTTATGGGTGTAAGGGTTTAGGGGTTGAGGTTGCAAGCCTCGACATCCCAGCATTCCTGGGCGTCTTCGATCTGTGGCTCATTGCCCTCGGCCAACATGGCGAGTTTATTTGTTGTCTAATCGAAGCAAGGAAGCATCACAATCGACGACAGAGGCAAGCCTTCTGGATCCGGCAATCGAGGTCGTCGATCTTTGGCTCGCTGCCCGGGTCCTCGGGGAAACACAAGTAACAATAAAGCTTCAGCTTGCTCCTCTGCCCACCATTCCGCCTGGTGGTCTTCGATCTTTGGCTCTTTACCCGGGTCCTCGGAATTATTATTGCGGGAAACACAAGTAACAATAAAGCTTCAGCTTGCTCCTCTGCCCACCATTCGTCCTGGTGGTCTTCGATCTTTGGCTCACCCGGCTCCTCGGAATTATTATTGTGGGAAACACAAGTAACAATAAAGCTTCAGCTTGCTCCTCTGCCCGCCATTCGTCCTGGTGGTCTTCGATCTTTGGCTCACCCGGCTCCTCGGAATTATTATTGTGGGAAAGACAAGTAACAATGAAGCTTCAGCTTGCTCCTCTGCCCACCATTCCTCCTGGTGGCCTTCGATCTTTGGCTCCTTGCCCGGGTACTCGGAATTATTATTGTGGGGTACACAAGCAACAATGAAGCTTCACAGCAAGCCTCGTCAGCCCAGCATTCCTCCTCGGGGTCTTCGATCTTTGGCTCCTTGTCGTCCTCGGGTGATATACTAGAAACAACGAAGCTTGGCAACATCATCAATAACAACCTCACTTGCAAGCCTCCTCCCAGCATTCCTCATGGTCTTCGATCTTCTCTGACTCGTTGTCCTTGGCCAACTTAGAAGAAACAACGAAGCTGCAGAAGAACACCACCACCACCAGCAACAACAACACTAACACCAACACACCAACACTTCCAAGCCTCCTCCCAGCTTTCCTGCTGGTCTTCCCTCTTTGGCTCGTCGCCCTCGACCCTCTCCTTAGCATCACGGTTGAAACGTGTATTTGGAATCCACACAAGCGACAACAATTGGATGCATACGAAATTCATCATCTGGCCACTCTGCTTCGCCAATGCCATACCCCTGAGTGCGAGATCATAGGCTCAGAACTACAACCGTCAATCTGCATTAATGATCGATGCGTATCCAAGGGTCTGCATCTTCTTCCGTCCATTCATTTCTCTTTCCATTGTCCTGTGCGAACCGAAAGAAGCAACGAGTTTACTTAAGGTTTAATTTTCAGGTTTTGGGGTTTAGGGTTTAGTTTTTGTTTAAGCAAAAGGCTTTGGTAAAGCATCAGTGTCCTCCACCGGATCCTCGGCCCCATTTCCACTCGCCTCAAATCACGATCTCGTCAATAACTTAGAGAAAGCACCCCAACAAAACACCCCACCAGCCTCATCCTTCGCCCACTCCGAAGGGCACTTCGGATCCTCACCATGGGGCACCCAAATCCCCGCACCACAGCTTAAGCTATATACAAGAATCAAGCGAGAAGCGAAACGGATGTTGTCCTCCACCGGATCCTCGGCCCCATTTCCAGTCGCCTGAAATCACGATCTCGTCAATAATTTAGAGAAAGCACCTCAACAAAACAAACGACCCCACCAGCCTCATCCTTAATCGCCCACTCCGAAGGGCACTTCGGATCCTCACCATGCATGGGCACCCAAATCCCCGCACCACAGCTTAAGCTATACACATGAATCAAGCGAGAAGCGAAACGGATCTTGTCGTGCTGGGCATCCTTCGGTGCCTGTGGCCGACATGAATGTATATATATATATATATCTACATACGAGGTAGAATGGTATATAGTTCTAACTCAGACCCAACCTCGGCACCAGCACTTTCCTCAAGGACTTGGGCAAGGTGTGCCTGGCAACAGTATATATATATATATATATACATCAACTGTTTCTTAGTGAATACAGTACGGTTTCGGGTTTAATGTTCAGGGTTATGCATATCTGCAGGGCGAAGAAAACCGATCCCTGCACTGCCGATCCGGATTGGCCTCCTCCTGCGGGGTCCAACCATTGCCGCGATCATGGCCATCATCAGCCAGGGCCTGCGAGTCATCGGCTTTAGAAACAATTATAATCGGCAAACTCACAATGCTCCCAACGATCCCTGGTGATCACAATGGTTCCTGGTCGCTCGAAGAGATCGACATCGGATCGATCCATTCACCATCCTTCCAGACCCATTCCTCGGATGCAAGGTTTGGGGTTTGGGTTTGGGGTTTCGGGTTTATACTTTAATGGGACTCGATGCCTCAATGATGCTTCGAAGAGAGTGCCCAAGAAGCCATGCGTGGGATCATTAATGTATAATTCCATTCCAAGAATAAGAAGCCATGGGATCAGCCATATCAGCAGCATTCCATTCGTCTGGATCCTTGGCACTGAAAACACACAATGTGTATGCAAGCCTTGGCAAAGCACAAACCATTGAAATCACTGCCCCGGCCTCTTCACCACCATGTGAAGCCGGCTCCTGCGTACAACAAACCAGGCGAACCCAGAACCGAATCGCAAGAATTCCATGTCGCTCCTCCCGGATCCAACCGTAGTCTTCCTTCCACACCCATCCCTTGTTCGGATCCTCGGATGCATGGTTGCAACTCTGGACCGACTCATGCAACCCTATATGCACACAAGAACTCACAAGCCGAAGTATCCACGGCGCTTTTGCAATTCTGTTCCTCTTCCTCGGTTGCACTTAAAGCAAATCCCTCGCCCAGGAAAAAACCCTCGCACTCAAGAATGATGGATCGAAGAAGCCACTTCGCTCGGAGGGGTCTTCGACCGAATTCGAAGCCGCTTGCTGGGCTTGATCTCAGAAAACTTAGATCCATGCGAATGATCGATGCAACGACTATATATACATATATATATAGACTGCGATTCCAAGCCACATCGTCACCGGAGATCTGACTCGAAGATTTTCGCTTCAAAAGCTGCGAATCCTCGGGTCGTGGATGCATGCGAATATTTGGGAAACACACCCACACACAGGCACACAATTATATAATTAGACACACATGCAGTCCTCATCTTCCTCCAGGGCCCATGGTTGCGTCTCCATGTTGTCCATGGCACAGTAAGATCTCCTAGCCTTCTGAAGTAGGGCCAATAGCGCCTTGGAGGTGTCCTTTATCCAAGACCGTTTATTGTGCCCCGGAGTTGTCGGGATCTCCAGTTGGTAGTCGTCAAGAAGCTGGGTGCAAACATGGGTGGTGACTCGCTCGGTCAGGAGGCGACCGTCATATTGACACCGAAAATCCTTCATGAAGGAGAATTGTTGTCGAGTGGCTGCGTGTCGCAAAGTAGAGGTAGCAAACAAAGAACCGGTTTTCCGAACGAAATCTAGGTCCAGACCATGGTAGATGTGCTCCGTAAGCTCCTTCACCCGTTTCTGACGGTCTGCCATGGCTGCACTTGCAAGATCCTATAGTCTCTTATAGATCGATGTGAAGACAGGTGCACACCTTAAACTGCATGCATGCATGCGTGAGCATGTAGCGACCGGCCCATGCTTCGATCTCAAAAACCTGCGATTTCCGGAGGTTTTATAATCTGCAGTGAACTGGCATGACAGCAACTGATCTTGCACTTCTCTCGCGGAGCTCTGCACAACGACCCACCGACACACGTGCACACACACACACACGGCACACACTTGTATATATATATATACATATATATATATCACATGCTTGTAGATGTATATATACGCCTGTCAGATAAATACAACCCTACTCAAAAAATACTGTTGCCAACGATATGCATGTCCACATGTGCGGCATATTGTGCGGCATGGCCATGAAATTTTCATGAAGCAGTAGTTAATCCAGCAAAAAAAAATAGTTCCATGCATTTGATCCAAAAAATATGATCCTGCTTTGCAACGTTGCTCGATCTCGTGCAACATATGTTCAACAAATGCAATGCACCTTACGACCACGAATGGCCAAAATCCATGGTCAGCAAATAAGAGTCATTGAGCCAATAAGAGTCATTGGGCCATTAAGATACATTGGGCCCGTGGTGGTGCCCAGGCGGAATATCCAGTAGGCCTGGTTCGCTGAGGTCCTGACCTTCTATCCAAACTTGCAGGAGTTGCAATAGCTCCTCGTGTAGTTGGCTATCCCGGACGAGCTTGCAGGCCGACT